TCGAAACCAATAAACCTCTCACGCAGAGTTTCACATTTGCTTTCTGTTGCTGACCATGTTCTCTTTTCCACTTTCTTGTTTCACAAGCAGACGCGCTTTAGCCAAGTTGGTGAGGTTGAAATAGAGTAGAATTCGCTACCCACGCGCCTTAAAAAAGGTGTCTTTTTTTTTTTTTTGTAATTATGAGGCTACAAAAAGCAGCTTTCAGCTCGGAGGGCGTGTGTGTGCATGCCTTGGTTGGTTAATCAATCAGAAACACGCACACACACACAACGAAAATCAAATCTTTGTTGAAATGATTGTGACCTATTCCCCCCCCCCCCTCCCCCGCCCTCCCCCCCCCCCCCAAAATAAATGTCTCTCCAAAAAAAAGGGTAAGGGACAGCATGATCGTCATCGTAGCAGTAGCAGTATAGCAACTAGTGATTTCTGACAGTAGTGATAAAAATTGTTAAACAGTATATGCTGTAACCAGCTGGGGTGTATAACTGTATATTCTTGCTGTCTCTATAAACCCAGAGAGACCTTCAGTGCGTGTGTGTGTGTGTGTGTTTTGTGATCAAATTGTCTACACATATGGTATATACAGCCAACCTCACACAGTCAGACTGAGGAAGAGACTAAAAGAGTGAAAGTGTGCGTTGTGCGTGTTCTGAGTCTGAAGATTGGTTTAGCTTTTTCAGGAAATGGATCAGTGTTCAAAACTGCAAGATCATCAGTCAGTCAATAACGGCGTACACTCTTCGACTCCACTTCCTAACTCCTTCCGCTGCCCATTCCAGCTCAAGGGTACTGCTCGATCAATACTACTTTGTGCAGACATACATGTCCTTATCGTTCACAATGCATTCTTTTTTTCCTTTTGGTTCTTCCCGAGCCTGCAGTATCAGCTTTAATATATTTCTGCTTTGGATTCATTTATGTTGTTTTTGGACTAAGCATAAAAGTTTGGCATAATTACGTTGAAAAGCACTGACTAGAATCCAAAAAAGAAAAAAGAAATGTTTTCTGATAACATGTTGTTTTGGTACCCAGCAAATGATGTGGATCAGGAAGTTCAATCTGCAGATTTCCTATTCAACAACGTGGAAGTGGAAGTTGGATCTGTTTACGAGATTGACCATCTTCACTTACCTCCTCGAACTCCTGTTCAACTCAGGTCCATCAGAGTTGCCATGGTTAGCATACTTCCTCTGACTGCTTATCTATATAGATAATTTCCAATACAAAAATCAGATACATGGATTATTGTTGAATTTTTTTAAAAAAAATTCTTTTCCCATTCTCAGGTCAGTGAGAAGACAGAGCTGAATGTGGCAATGAGATTTCCGAGCATGGAGTCGCTTAAAACCTATTTTAGCAACAGCATCAGAGAGATGTATCCAGCCTTAGATGAGAAGTTTGTGATGGGAACAGTGCTTGCTGCCAAAGTGCTCCTTCGGCAGATCCCTTCTCAGGAGTTTGCCGAGAATAAGCATTTGGAGGGATTCTGGTTGGTGAATGCTGCTGCAGTCAATGTTTCTGAAGAGGACAATAGTTACAGGAATGGCAACTGTTTGACGGAGCTCAAGGGCATGGGAATGGTTCGGTGGGGAACCCGACGACAGGTCAAGTTTCTGGAAAGGCACAAAGAAAACATGAGTGGCAACCTTCGGTCTCCTTCGAGTTTTAGAACAGGTGGTAAAAAGGCAATTGAAGTCATTAGAAAACCAGCAGAAGCTAAAGATGAAGATGATAACGATGTTAATGATGATGATGATGATGATCGTGATGATGACGATGATAACAAAGAAGATGACGAGAAGGATGAACAAGAAGAAAGGGAAGAAGATGATGGAGATGATGATGAAAGGGAAGACGACGTGGCTGATGTTGCAAACGAAGAAACTGAGGCAGAAGAGGAGACCCAAGAGATGAATAGAAATCTCAAGAGAAAGAGGTACAAGCTGAGAAATGGTACTACCAGACAGAAGGCAAAGAAAGTTGAACGTGAGAAGAAGAAGAAGAAGCTTAAGAAGACTCACGCCAGGAGGGGCAGAAACAAATGCCGGGAACTCTTAGTGATGGAAAACCCCAAAGATAGATGGTCTGCTGAGAGGTAAGAACATAAAAAATGTTTACTCCGTGTTTCTTGTATTCGTCGACATTAAAACAATAACGATCAGCATTTAATGGACTTTTAGGTTTTTTTTTTTTGCCTTAATTTGATTTTCCATGCGTCTATGTATGAAGGTACCAACTTGCAACAAAGAACCTTTTGGAGGTTATGAAAGCCAAGGGGGCCACAGCTGGTAACCCAATTCTCAGGCCCGACCTGAGGGCAGAGGCAAGGAAGAAGATTGGGGACACTGGGCTGTTAGATCATCTCCTCAAGCACATGGCCGGTAAGCTTGCACCAGGTGGAGAAGAACGGTTCAGGAGGCGGCATAATGCGGATGGTGCGATGGAGTACTGGTTAGAAAGTGCTGATCTTGTCAAAATAAGGAAGGATGCTGGTGTGAATGATCCCTATTGGATCCCACCACCTGGATGGAAGCCTGGTGACTGCCCCACTCAGGACCCTATCTGCGCTAAGGAGTTGAGGCTCTTGAAAGAAGAGATTTCCCATCTTAAAAGGTAAAATAGATACCACATACTACGTACTAATTAATTTGCACAAACTGATAGCTAGTTACGCTTGCATGTCTTTTTTGTTGGGTTTTAATGTTTAACCTTTTCTTTGGTGGACATTGCTGTATTACCAGAAATGCACTGGAGATGGTGCCCAGAAAGCAGCTGGAGGAGGAAGTTGGAAAGCTAAGAAGGTCAAGTCTAAACTTTCTAATAATGATCACATCTTTCACCGGAATAGCAAATTAATGGCTCTGATGAACTTCTCTTTGAGTGCTTCTCTTTTAATGTTTATGGTCTGCTTGCTTGATCAGAGAGATTGACAAGCTTGTCTCCAACAAGAAGCAAGGGGTAAACCAAGCTATTGGATTTTCGTCAAATCAGTGCGACATCAGTGAAAAGTTCGATCAGCTTGCTAATTCATTGGTTTCTTCAAAGTCTCATCTTACCGAACTACCCGTTTCACTGGTATATGAGTACTTACAAAAAGCATATTAGTGTCTCATTCAAGTACTTAAAGTTGAAGAAACCTTTGCTTGACCATATTACTTTGATTTTTTGGGGCAGGAGAAGTACAAGGATCAATTAATTGTCATTCAAGATTTTGCAAGAGGAATAGAGGTAGCAGCTATCTGATGCTTCAAGAAATCTGATTTAAGCCTCTGCAGCTTAGACGTTCTCTCTCAATTAAACGAGTTCTAATTGCATGCAGTACTATTTAGTGTCTAGTTCTTAATTAGTTGAGTAACTCGTTGTAACGTGCTAATATTCATAGATGACAAAAATATCTTGGTTGCATATGCTGCTGTTGTTAAGTATGATACTGATACATACTCGATTGGATACATGGAATTCAGGAAGAAATAAAGAAGCTCATGCCGGAAGCTAAAGGAGAAGCACGGTCCAACACCGAATTAATTGTGTCAAAGGAGTCTGGTACTGCTGGAAAAGAGATCGTGGAATTGGAGAAAGGGACGAAGGAGCAAGAAGTACAAGTAGTAGTAAATGTTGGGGAGCTGGAGGGTTCAGCGAAAGCAGAAAATGCAGCGGCAGCGGAAGCAGCAACGGCAGAGAAAAAAGCAGCAAAGATCGAAAGGCTGAAGAGTGGGTTCAGGATCTGCAAGCCCCAGGGGACGTTCCTTTGGCCAAACATGGCCCGCAACATCTGCAACAACACCGCCACCGGTAGCACTACTAGCCACAATATGGTGTCCCCTCGGGTTGTGGTCCAGGTTGAGGATCTTTTAGTGGTCCCCGTGGCTCCCCCTTTGCTCCCTTACTACCATACCACCAACACTAACAACCACCACCAACCAACTTCTCCAGTGAAGCCTCTAGCCGAGAGACGTGCTGTGAAAGTCACGGTCTCCACATTATCTAATGACCATGGGGATCACAGTGACTCCTCCACTGTGACAACCACCACCACTGCAAACAAGAAAACAACTCCTATCAACCTAAATGATGTTCCTTATAATTCTGTCGAAGTATTATCTGGCCTCCCTTCATCTTTACCACGTCCCGCTGCAACTTCTACTTTGATGCCTCAGGTACTAAAGTTTCCACCTTTCTCTTTTCTTCTTTTTCTTTTTGAGTCCATCCATGCCATGAAACTTATGCCCTGGTTTATCCGTTAAAATGCTTAGTGAGGGTGTTTTGCAATTGTATCCTGCAGTTGCTACCCGATGAAGGTAAAAAGGAGACAAGTAGACCTTGGGAAGTGATGACTGGTGGGGTTGGCTGTGGTAATAATGCAGCAAGTGAAACAACGGGACATCTCCAGAAGCAGCCAACCAAGTGCTGCTCTTCATCAGCTTCATGCTTGTCCCCCGAGAAGGCAATGGGGAATTGGCTAGCTCTGGCAACTGCTAACTCTGCCTCTGATCAGTCCAGCCAGGGTTGAGCTGAATTGGGTGATTAGAAGTTTAAACTGAATTTCATTTTACATTTGTTTCTGAATTGAGCGGGAAGCTAGTATTGCTCTTTAGGGCCCAAGAGCTTGAGGGCAGTAGGATGTTTTCCAAGGTCCTAGAGTTAAGGATTTCAGTTTCAGTAGTGAATGAAACTGTGAAAATTTGATCCCTCTCCTGGGGGAACGTAATATTGCATGTTGGAGCAACAAGGGTTGGCTGGTGATTTATTAGTACTTATTTCACCAAGTCTCTCAATGTGTAACTTCTTTTGTCCATTTTTAACTTGTTCTCGTCCTGGTACTTGCAATAAGGATACACTGCATCTACTCCAACTGAAGATATTGAATCTCCCTTATCCACTTCAGCTGACATAGTGGAAGAAAATGGATGGAGGAGCATTGGTGGATCATTTCAGACTATTTTACCAAAATCTAGATGGTTATATCTAGGGAATAAAAAAACTTAAAGCTGCAAATCTTATCAGTAAAAAGATGCCTTAAGCAATTATATAAAGGAACAAATAGGATCACAGTTTGGATGAATAATTTTTACAGTTGAATCCTATCTCCTCAAAATTGATGCATTCAGACAATGCAGTTACGAGCTTTCTCAAATCATCCCGCGTGTGCACAGCACTCAGAGCTATCCTTAACCTAGAAAAGGTAGGCAATTTTGATATGATCAGAAAGCCTAAAGTAAACAAGAAAAATTTGCAGAACAAACCAAATTATTGTCAAGTTACTGCATCTAAGACACTTAAAGGTACAACTAACAAGAATGGTTTTGCAACTTCACCATATAGTGAGCGCAGGAGGAACCATTCCAAAATGGATGACAAAAATAATGCATTGACGCAGGGTACAACAGTGAATTGTGTGGTTTGGACAACAGCATATAAATGGCAAAGAAGTTCGGATCATCAAAAAGATTCCAGCGTCCGACAAACCTGCATGAGTTTGAAGGCACTGTTGGGGGCCTTATAGCGGTTACATGAAAACCAGATTTCAGAAGATGCCTATTCATCATAATTCACATGGTTAGGAGCAATGATGACACAGAAACTTTTAAAGAGAGGGAGGGATTGGGGAAAGAGGGGAATTACCGGCTAGCTTCCAAGGCCTTCACTTCACTCCCTACAATAAGGGAAATAATGGGACTAGTAATGGGAATTCTTGTCATGGCACGGAATTCTAGTACCCGATTCCAAATGGCCTTTCTACGCCATGTCTCCTGTTTTGCTACATTAACAGCAGCTGCAAAGGGAATAAGTTAAATTCAATAAAGAATCTAAGAAAAGAAAGATTAAAGCCCCAATTTACAAAATCGCTATCCTTTCTGAGTTACAATATGTAGTCGTCTCTTCAGTTAAAAGCTTTCACGTTAAATTCATGAACTTAGTCATGCGAAGTTGAGACATCGACTGCATTTAGAAATCAATTCGACTATGGCCCCGCAATGTCTTTTTACACTATTGACAGCTCATTAATTTATAGAAGTTCATGGCACATAAAGTGGCACCTGGTATCCCCATCAATAGGCAAAAGTGCTTGAATTGAAATACTACAGTGTGAGGGACTGGATAGACTAACCCACTCCAATTCTATAAACTAAGCTTACCGTGTGCTGCTGCAGCAATTGGTACCGGAGTAGAAGTTGAAAATATGAAAGAGCGACCCCTTGACTGTATCAGTTGCTTCCATTTCTTGCTGTTAATTTAGCATCAAATGGAAAATGTTGATATATTATTAAACATTAATTGCACCACTAGTGTAAACAATCACTGGTAAATTCATCTCTGTATGTTTGATTTTTAATTTCTTATTTGTCACTGGAAGGCAATCTATCCAAGAGCCAGACACAACATACTTATTACAAACCTTTAAATGAAAAAAAAAAAAATTTCCTTGCCATTTATCAGTTTCTGAACAAACAAAAAACTAAATAAAAATGAACAAAAGCGAACGGTTAGCTGAGATTTTAACAAATCTAAGAAACTGATGCAATTAACAGTAAAAGATATTTAAGCATAACAACTTGCACCACTAGAACAGGATAGAGCAAAACAGAACTCATAAACAGAATTTAACTTTGAAAAACCATTAGGGACCGCTTAACTTGGAAAAAAGAGTGTGTGTGGAATTCTCATTTCTTCTTACCCCCTTCCTTCCAAACAAAAGCCCACTACCTTCAAACAGGCAATTAGCAAAATTACCTGCAGGCTATAAATCCACCATGGCAACCAGAAGCCTTACTTAAAGTGCCTATGCAAATGTCAACATCATTTTCACACTTGAACTTCTCTGCAGCACCACCACCAGTTTTGCCACAAACCAATGTTGCATGAGCCTAGACAAATTATGCAACAAGCACTTTTCTGGATTAGTTACTTTTTACTGATGAAAAATAAATAGATATGCTAAACCTCAGGCAAAATATAATCAAAGTGATTCCTAGATATGAAGTTCATCTTTCATCCGGTAAATACTCCATATGGACTTCATCACTAAAATGATAAGTCAAGAGACTTAGGGGAAACTTTGACGTGTTCACATATGGCCATCACAACCTTACTAATTACATATCATGCAATCAACTTTTAAATTTTGAATTGCATATCAACTTACAAGACACTTACATCGTCAATTGCCAACAAAAAACCATGCTTCCTGCGTAGCTTCACAAGCTCAACTATTGGTGCAAAGTCTCCATCCATACTGAACAAGCTAGCAAAGAAAACAGGCAACTGAGAGATAGGATTGAAGCGTAACCACAAGGTGATTGGAGGCCCCTTTATCACCAGGAATAGCTCCATCTCTAGTTCTAAAACATTAGTTACTCTGTTACTAAATTAGTAACCGGTCGTTGGTACAATAACCAAGAGAATGATGGAGTTTCAAAGGAAAAGGATTAAACAGATAAGCAGACAGTATGGCAATCATCACAGAAGATGAACTACGAGTCCACACTGAGAGAACTAAGCAGATGGGAACAGCGCTTGCTGCCAAAGTGCTCCTTCGGCAGATCCCTTCTCAGGAGTTTGCCGAGAATAAGCATTTGGAGGGATTCTGGTTGGTGAATGCTACTGCAGTCAATGTTTCTGAAGAGGACAATAGTTACAGGAATGGCAACTGTTTGACGGAGCTCAAGGGCATGGGAATGGTTCGGTGGGGAACCCGACGACAGGTCAAGTTTCTGGAAAGGCACAACGAAAACATAAGTGGCAACCTTCGGTCTCCTTCGAGTTTTAGAACAGGTGGTAAAAAGGCAATTGAAGTCATTAGAAAACCAGCAGAAGCTAAAGATGAAGATGATAACGATGTTAATGATGATGATGATGATGATGATGATCGTGATGATGACGATGATAACAAAGAAGATGACGAGAAGGATGAACAAGAAGAAAGGGAAGAAGATGATGGAGATGATGATGAAAGGGAAGACGACGTGGTTGATGTTGCAAACGAAGAAACTGAGGCAGAAGAGGAGACCCAAGAGATGAATAGAAATCTCAAGAGAAAGAGGTACAAGCTGAGAAATGGTACTACCAGACAGAAGGCAAAGAAAGTTGAACGTGAGAAGAAGAAGAAGCTTAAGAAGACTCACGCCAGGAGGGGCAGAAACAAATGCCGGGAACTCTTAGTGATGGAAAACCCCAAAGATAGATGGTCTGCTGAGAGGTAAGAACATAAAAAATGTTTACTCCGTGTTTCTTGTATTCGTCGACATTAAAACAATAACTATCAGCATTTAATGGACTTTTAGGTTTTTTTTTTGCCTTAATTTAATTTTCCATGCGTCTATGTATGAAGGTACCAACTTGCAACAAAGAACCTTTTGGAGGTTATGAAAGCCAAGGGGGCCACAGCTGGTAACCCAATTCTCAGGCCCGACCTGAGGGCAGAGGCAAGGAAGAAGATTGGGGACACTGGGCTGTTAGATCATCTCCTCAAGCACATGGCCGGTAAGCTTGCACCAGGTGGAGAAGAACGGTTCAGGAGGCGGCATAATGCGGATGGTGCGATGGAGTACTGGTTAGAAAGTGCTGATCTTGTCAAAATAAGGCAGGATGCTGGTGTGAATGATCCCTATTGGATCCCACCACCTGGATGGAAGCCTGGTGACTGCCCCACTCAGGACCCTATCTGCGCTAAGGAGTTGAGGCTCTTGAAAGAAGAGATTTCCCATCTTAAAAGGTAAAATAGATACCACATACTACGTACTAATTAATTTGCACAAACTGATAGCTAGTTACGGTTGCATGTCTTAATTTTGTTGGGTTTTAATGTTTAACCTTTTCTTTGGTGGACATTGCTGTATTACCAGAAATGCACTGGAGATGGCGCCCAGAAAGCAGCTGGAGGAGGAAGTTGGAAAGCTAAGAAGGTCAAGTCTAAACTTTCTAATAATGATCACATCTTTCACCGGAATAGCAAATTAATGGCTCTAATGAACTTCTCTTTGAGTGCTTCTCTTTTAATGTTTATGGTCTGCTTGCTTGATCAGAGAGATTGACAAGCTTGTCTCCAACAAGAAGCAAGGGGTAAACCAAGCTATTGGATTTTCGTCAAATCAGTGCGACATCAGTGAAAAGTTCGATCAGCTTGCTAATTCATTGGTTTCTTCAAAGTCTCATCTTTCCGAACTACCCGTTTCACTGGTATATGAGTACTTACAAAAAGCATATTAGTGTCTCATTCAAGTACTTAAAGTTGAAGAAACCTTTGCTTGACCATATTACTTTGATTTTTTGGGGCAGGAGAAGTACAAGGATCAATTAATTGTCATTCAAGATTTTGCAAGAGGAATAGAGGTAGCAGCTATCTGATGCTTCAAGAAATCTGATTTAAGCCTCTGCAGCTTAGACGTTCTCTCTCAATTAAACGAGTTCTAATTGCATGCAGTACTATTTAGTGTCTAGTTCTTAATTAGTTGAGTAACTCGTTGTAACGTGCTAATATTCATAGATGACAAAAATATCTTGGTTGCATATGCTGCTGTTGTTAAGTATGATACTGATACATACTCGATTGGATACATGGAATTCAGGAAGAAATAAAGAAGCTCATGCCGGAAGCTAAAGGAGAAGCACGGTCCAACACCGAATTAATTGTGTCAAAGGAGTCTGGTACTGCTGGAAAAGAGATCGTGGAATTGGAGAAAGGGACGAAGGAGCAAGAAGTACAAGTAGTAGTAAATGTTGGGGAGCTGGAGGGTTCAGCTAAAGCAGAAAATGCAGCGGCAGCGGAAGCAGCAACGGCAGAGAAAAAAGCAGCAAAGATCGAAAGGCTGAAGAGTGGGTTCAGGATCTGCAAGCCCCAGGGGACGTTCCTTTGGCCAAACATGGCCCGCAACATCTGCAACAACACCGCCACCGGTAGCACTACTAGCCACAATATGGTGTCCCCTCGGGTTGTGGTCCAGGTTGAGGATCTTTTAGTGGTCCCAACTCCACCTTCAGTCTCTTCCTCCACTGCCGTGGCTCCCCCTTTGCTCCCTTACTACCATACCACCAACACTAACAACCACCACCAACCAACTTCTCCAGTGAAGCCTCTAGCCGAGAGACGTGCTGTGAAAGTCACGGTCTCCACATTATCTAATGACCATGGGGATCACAGTGACTCCTCCACTGTGACAACCACCACCACTGCAAACAAGAAAACAACTCCTATCAACCTAAATGATGTTCCTTATAATTCTGTCGAAGTATTATCTGGCCTCCCTTCATCTTTACCACGTCCCGCTGCAACTTCTACTTTGATGCCTCAGGTACTAAAGTTTCCACCTTTCTCTTTTCTTCTTTTTCTTTTTGAGTCCATCCATGCCATGAAACTTATGCCCTGGTTTATCCGTTAAAATGCTTAGTGAGGGTGTTTTGCAATTGTATCCTGCAGTTGCTACCCGATGAAGGTAAAAAGGAGACAAGTAGACCTTGGGAAGTGATGACTGGTGGGGTTGGCTGTGGTAATAATGCAGCAAGTGAAACAACGGGACATCTCCAGAAGCAGCCAACCAAGTGCTGCTCTTCATCAGCTTCATGCTTGTCCCCCGAGAAGGCAATGGGGAATTGGCTAGCTCTGGCAACTGCTAACTCTGCCTCTGATCAGTCCAGCCAGGGTTGAGCTGAATTGGGTGATTAGAAGTTTAAACTGAATTTCATTTTACATTTGTTTCTGAATTGAGCGGGAAGCTAGTATTGCTCTTTAGGGCCCAAGAGCTTGAGGGCAGTAGGATGTTTTCCAAGGTCCTAGAGTTAAGGATTTCAGTTTCAGTAGTGAATGAAACTGTGAAAATTTGATCCCTCTCCTGGGGGAACGTAATATTGCATGTTGGAGCAACAAGGGTTGGCTGGTGATTTATTAGTACTTATTTCACCAAGTCTCTCAATGTGTAACTTCTTTTGTCCATTTTTAACTTGTTCTCGTCCTGGTACTTGCAATAAGGATACACTGCATCTACTCCAACTGAAGATATTGAATCTCCCTTATCCACTTCAGCTGACATAGTGGAAGAAAATGGATGGAGGAGCATTGGTGGATCATTTCAGACTATTTTACCAAAATCTAGATGGTTATATCTAGGGAATAAAAAAACTTAAAGCTGCAAATCTTATCAGTAAAAAGATGCCTTAAGCAATTATATAAAGGAACAAATAGGATCACAGTTTGGATGAATAATTTTTACAGTTGAATCCTATCTCCTCAAAATTGATGCATTCAGACAATGCAGTTACGAGCTTTCTCAAATCATCCCGCGTGTGCACAGCACTCAGAGCTATCCTTAACCTAGAAAAGGTAGGCAATTTTGATATGATCAGAAAGCCTAAAGTAAACAAGAAAAATTTGCAGAACAAACCAAATTATTGTCAAGTTACTGCATCTAAGACACTTAAAGGTACAACTAACAAGAATGGTTTTGCAACTTCACCATATAGTGAGCGCAGGAGGAACCATTCCAAAATGGATGACAAAAATAATGCATTGACGCAGGGTACAACAGTGAATTGTGTGGTTTGGACAACAGCATATAAATGGCAAAGAAGTTCGGATCATCAAAAAGATTCCAGCGTCCGACAAACCTGCATGAGTTTGAAGGCACTGTTGGGGGCCTTATAGCGGTTACATGAAAACCAGATTTCAGAAGATGCCTATTCATCATAATTCACATGGTTAGGAGCAATGATGACACAGAAACTTTTAAAGAGAGGGAGGGATTGGGGAAAGAGGGGAATTACCGGCTAGCTTCCAAGGCCTTCACTTCACTCCCTACAATAAGGGAAATAATGGGACTAGTAATGGGAATTCTTGTCATGGCACGGAATTCTAGTACCCGATTCCAAATGGCCTTTCTACGCCATGTCTCCTGTTTTGCTACATTAACAGCAGCTGCAAAGGGAATAAGTTAAATTCAATAAAGAATCTAAGAAAAGAAAGATTAAAGCCCCAATTTACAAAATCGCTATCCTTTCTGAGTTACAATATGTAGTCGTCTCTTCAGTTAAAAGCTTTCACGTTAAATTCATGAACTTAGTCATGCGAAGTTGAGACATCGACTGCATTTAGAAATCAATTCGACTATGGCCCCGCAATGTCTTTTTACACTATTGACAGCTCATTAATTTATAGAAGTTCATGGCACATAAAGTGGCACCTGGTATCCCCATCAATAGGCAAAAGTGCTTGAATTGAAATACTACAGTGTGAGGGACTGGATAGACTAACCCACTCCAATTCTATAAACTAAGCTTACCGTGTGCTGCTGCAGCAATTGGTACCGGAGTAGAAGTTGAAAATATGAAAGAGCGACCCCTTGACTGTATCAGTTGCTTCCATTTCTTGCTGTTAATTTAGCATCAAATGGAAAATGTTGATATATTATTAAACATTAATTGCACCACTAGTGTAAACAATCACTGGTAAATTCATCTCTGTATGTTTGATTTTTAATTTCTTATTTGTCACTGGAAGGCAATCTATCCAAGAGCCAGACACAACATACTTATTACAAACCTTTAAATGAAAAAAAAAAAAATTTCCTTGCCATTTATCAGTTTCTGAACAAACAAAAAACTAAATAAAAATGAACAAAAGCGAACGGTTAGCTGAGATTTTAACAAATCTAAGAAACTGATGCAATTAACAGTAAAAGATATTTAAGCATAACAACTTGCACCACTAGAACAGGATAGAGCAAAACAGAACTCATAAACAGAATTTAACTTTGAAAAACCATTAGGGACCGCTTAACTTGGAAAAAAGAGTGTGTGTGGAATTCTCATTTCTTCTTACCCCCTTCCTTCCAAACAAAAGCCCACTACCTTCAAACAGGCAATTAGCAAAATTACCTGCAGGCTATAAATCCACCATGGCAACCAGAAGCCTTACTTAAAGTGCCTATGCAAATGTCAACATCATTTTCACACTTGAACTTCTCTGCAGCACCACCACCAGTTTTGCCACAAACCAATGTTGCATGAGCCTAGACAAATTATGCAACAAGCACTTTTCTGGATTAGTTACTTTTTACTGATGAAAAATAAATAGATATGCTAAACCTCAGGCAAAATATAATCAAAGTGATTCCTAGATATGAAGTTCATCTTTCATCCGGTAAATACTCCATATGGACTTCATCACTAAAATGATAAGTCAAGAGACTTAGGGGAAACTTTGACGTGTTCACATATGGCCATCACAACCTTACTAATTACATATCATGCAATCAACTTTTAAATTTTGAATTGCATATCAACTTACAAGACACTTACATCGTCAATTGCCAACAAAAAACCATGCTTCCTGCGTAGCTTCACAAGCTCAACTATTGGTGCAAAGTCTCCATCCATACTGAACAAGCTAGCAAAGAAAACAGGCAACTGAGAGATAGGATTGAAGCGTAACCACAAGGTGATTGGAGGCCCCTTTATCACCAGGAATAGCTCCATCTCTAGTTCTAAAACATTAGTTACTCTGTTACTAAATTAGTAACCGGTCGTTGGTACAATAACCAAGAGAATGATGGAGTTTCAAAGGAAAAGGATTAAACAGATAAGCAGACAGTATGGCAATCATCACAGAAGATGAACTACGAGTCCACACTGAGAGAACTAAGCAGCATGAGACCAGCTTAAATTTTTTTTAGAGGATAATATGATGAGCATTAGACAATTTTGCAACTGAATCAAACTATTTAAAGCCTCTCATTGTTCGATCTCTCTGACATAGATATATGAAGTTTCAACTCTGGCCCACAATCCCAATCACAGCAAAAACATTCTTTTTGCACATATTTCCAGGATAATGTTTCTGATTCGCCAAACAGCTGAAGTAACCACAACCATGTGGTATGACTAACCTATCAGTAACAACAACTTTCTTCTTCATCGTGCAACTTGACCTGTTATATACAAATATATTGTTGTGAGATGCACAAATATGGTAAAATAATACAGAAATGACAGAAAAAGAATTGACAAAGTGCATCACAGAAACTTACAATAACGAATTAAGGTGGACCATGTCACAGTGTCGGTAGACAATGTTGACTAAACTCCCTTGTTTCTCGGCAAGGCGGATACCATCGATGATTGATGCATGGTTGAGTGCATCAGAAAAAATGGCAACTCTTTCATCCCTTTTAGGTTTTCCCCCTTCAGCTAACAGCAAACCAACACTTCCAACTGCTGTGATAAGTGCCATGTTGGCTGCAAAGCCTGTGGGACAAAGAAGGCAATCCTAATATGTGACATTAGAGCAAGAATTCATCAGTCTAAATCCAGCAGCATCAACCCTTCATTATGATCAAAAGCATAGCAGGTAAAGTTTGACCATCTATTGACCACAGTACATGAAATAGGAAGTTACATCCCATCTATTTATACGTGATATACATTGCCTTCCAAAGAAATGAAATCTATAATGAATATATTGCTGCAATAGACATGGGAGGCAAGAACCAATTCATTGGGTTTAAGCTTCATTGCAACCATGACCTAGTTGAATCATGCCTAACTAAAAATTTTATCATATGGATGGTCATAACCACTTTTCTTATCACTTGATTGTTTAGAGTTTTGAAATAAAAATATTATCAATAAAACCTTTTGAAAAATCTGCATTTACTGGGTACTGAATGAAAATTTTGAAACTACCTCTTTCTTCTTTAAGTCTGCTAACGCCGACTCCAGCAACCTGTGGTAATTTGTGTAACCACAAATTAATGCAGAACCTCTGGGTCCCATCCCATGCAACTGAGCTGCCTAATTTGTCAGGGGAAACCACAACACAACACAAGTTATTAACCAAAATTCTCCATTTGATATCAGGAGAATCCATAACTCAACAACATATTGATTAAAAAAAAATCACCTTTACAGCGGCCTTGATAACAGTTGGGTGGGAACTCAAGCCCAGGTAATCATTCCCAGAGAAAATTAATAACTTCTTGAACTTTCCGCCACATGGCCCTGCTCCATCATCATCCTCACCGTTCCCAATTACAGTGTCATCCCCTGTTTTATCAATTCAATAAAACATAAAATACCAAAACAATGCACATGCAATTCGTGACAAGTTTTCTACTTGCTTTTCTTTTCTTCATCCTTCAAAAATAGAATCACAGCAAGAAACATGCATAAAAAAAAAAAGAGCTTCTTCTCAAACAAAATTAATCACTCCACAAGTTTTCAGTAGGTAAATGGGATGGAGGGAAGCAAATGTAGTACCGGAACTGGGAATGTCTTGCAGCCATTTTTGGAATGTGGTTTCTGAAATTTGAACTTCCACGGAGGCTCTATCCCATTGCCGCAATCCATCATAAAACTCTAGCTCATCTGATTCCGTTTGGTTGGATTCGGGGCGAATTAGGTGGATGGGTCTCAGAGATCGCATAACCTTTAAAGACTCGAGCTTTAAGAGAGCCTCTGCCACCCAGTAATCCCAGCACCACGCAGCCATCCCCACTTTCTCCGCTGCCGTATGTGTGGGAATTTCGGGCGGAGGCTACAACGTAGACAAACCCACCGGGAAACTGCACTGCAGTGCCCCTCTATATAGCAAATAGTGTATTAAACCGCGAAGGCCGTTTATTTATTTATTTATTGATTTTTAATCAAATAAGATTCTGGTAAAATCAGTAGTAATTCT